TGCTGCGGTTTGGAAATGTTCGTGTAACTCATCGGAAATCACGGAGGAATACGTCATGCTAATCGTAAGTCTTGACAGCATATATAAAATGTTTCTGGTTTGAGAGTTGGCAATTGTTGAGGAGTACTGTCATGAATTACTATGTCTGTGACAATAACTGTAAATTCCTTTTTTTCTGACTTCTGTGTCAGATCAGTATAGTAATAGGGGATTTTTAATGATATTTTCATCCTAGCTGCATTTTTAAACAGGTGTTGAACACAAAGCTCAAGATACCACCATCCAAAAAAATGATCCTTTCTCAACACTTGGATGACTTCTTTTGCATGAAACTTGTCAAAGGCATCAAGAATTGAATATTCTGCTGCTGGACAACACATGGTATAGTAATTGCCACTAAGAATGACTAGTCCAGAATTTGTCCAACTTGGAGGGGGGAGGATCATTCAGTTTACTATCCAAAAAAATCTTTGCTGCAAATATTGCACTTGCTTCAAATTCATCCCCTAGTCACTTTTTCTCTAATAGCTTCTGTATTCTTACTTTGTATTTGTAATAATTTGTTGCATCTTGGAAATAGTGAAATTTTGCAATGTTCAACTTCCCAACACCTCCTTTTTGAGTCCAGAATTCGCAAAAGCATGTTAATTCTCAAGGTAAGCCACCCACATAATCCTGTAAAAATGCAGTATCATCTGGCAACTTGTCTTTGAAGTGTTCAAGCACTTTTTCCCATTCTTCATTGGTGTATGGTTCAATGGTATAGTAAGCATTGCATTACCATCATTTGCCACTTTGTCACCATGATACAAGGAAGTGAAGGCATATAAAGTGGCTCCACAACAAACACCAAAATTGTTCCAATCAGAAAACAGGCTGGCAACAAGATTATTTTCAGGTGGTAAAAGAGTTGCTGGTTGATTTCTCTGTAACATCATCTTATGTGACATTAGGAGTGCACTACACAGAAGATTACTGGTACAACAGTAATTAGTTTAAGAGCAGAAATGAATTTTTGAAAGGCCAAGACAGATTGGTCAGGATTATTGGCTGCAATATGAGCAATGTCATATAGAGACATAGATGATGTGGAGAATCGAAATTTCTTTAACATGTCAATGTTTGGGGTGTATCCAAGCCACTTGGCCATAAATTCACAAACTTTCATGTTAATCCACTCTGTACCATCTGTGAAATGCTTGGCATTTATGTACATGACAAGACATCCTGCCTTTTGGGTGGTGTAGGCAATAGTATTAGTATAAAGTGTTGTAGTCTTACCCACACCTCCAGCTCCCTTTAAGACATGTGTCAACACCACATTCTGTTTTAGTTCCTGCTTAATAATGGCCACTTGATACAATTGATCAATAAGCATCTTCATTTGGCTGCAAATAAGGACATCATTGTTCAGTTGGAATAACTCTTTGAAGTCTGCTTTGTCAAATAGATTCATAAGCGGAAAGAATTCGCCTTGTTTGATAATGTCTTTATATGAAGTATCAAGTATAAATTGATTTAGATAATTAAGATAAAAAGATTATAAGAAAATGAGTGGTAAAAAATCGGAACATTAATTAAAAAATCCTACAAACCTGGTTCCGGTTTTACAATCGGCAAGTTGCTTTGGGGTGGAGTGTATCAGGCATTAACGTGTCATATTTCACTCGTTTTGTGCGGGGTTCTTTGATAACAAGCATAAGAGAAAACAAATTCAGTGCAATATAATAATAAGCAAAGTATCGCAAAATAGCGAACTTTATAACAGAATTTTGAAAAAACAGTTCTATGTCTACCCAACGTATCAAGAAAACATATTGCTACGTCCACTCTGCCCTATGTTTATTCTACACGTACCCTATGTACACACTACTACTACACTATGTCCAAGTCACAAAGTCGTTACCTCCACCTAGTTGATCAAGAAGTGTGTTCTGTCTGTCTCCATATACTTCCTTGGTTATTAGTTCTTCTTGAAACAGTTCTTTCAACTGTTTGAGACTCTGTTTGATGTCAGCCATTTTTTTTGGTTTGTTAGAAAGATTCGTTTGTTAAGATGTGCACGCGATGTGATCTAAATACTAACGCTGATCAGTGGCTTAATCAATGACGGATTATTAGGAACTAGACCTTTTCACAATGCAGAATGTGACCAATGATAGTCAAGACTATAAGGAACGATCTAAGTCGCTTGATCAGCAGAGGTTTCCTTTACATTTCTTCAATTTTTCGTTTCTTTCTTGGTTCCATTTGTTGGTATTAATGTTAGTTTACTATTTGTTCTTGGAAAATTTCATAAGTGATGCTTTCTTTATTATTATCTAGATACTCCTGGAGAGTTTGAGTACATCATTGATTTTAAAAACGTATGGTAGCAATCTTTTCTCCTTAAAATGCTTCTAATAGTACTGTAATTCTTTGGTTCCATAGTAGCAGTAGACTTAATGTAAATTAGTTTCATATTTATATTTTTTATATAGACATAATCCTATGTTAATCATGTTATAACTTCATCTTATCCAACTTTAAAATTAGTCGTATTCTAGGCATGATATTAATTTAAAACTGTAATCCATATAAATTTGTATATAATAATAAGTGTGATACATATGTAATCAAATATTAATAGTTGAATTAATTAACTTTCAGCCACATCAGCCTTTCATTTATGTCACATAATAGAATGTTCACTTAATAGAAACTTTTTAAGCTTGAAGCCCATGAAAATTATTGATATATATGTTTTTTTTTTTTTATAATTTAGAACTTTATTGCCTAACTACAGATATACCGCTAAAGCTAGTTTTAACATACATGCAAAGCATATAGAGGTACAATAAAGAGCTTGGCTGTAAGAGCCAGGTAAAATAAATGGGGATATGTAGGTATGATAATAAAGATGATAAGATATTAATATATAGATAAAGTTATGATGTACATAATATGCATAGTAATAATGTACTTCAATGTTTTATGGAGCAATGGAGCAGATGATGGAATTTACAGAAGGCCATGGGAGGGATGGAGTAAGAGATCTGTAGGAAAGAAGGAGAGAAGTAAAAGTGATGTGAGCATTTTTTTCTGATACTGAGGAGGGAGGTAATGTACCAAAGGAGGTTGATGTGTAAGAAGTCCAAATGGTCCATAGTGAAGCAGATTGGATAAGGCGAGCAATGTGTTTAAGTTTGTTAGAAGAGTGTGATTGGATGATGGAAGATGGTGAAGAAAATGGAAGAATAAGATGAGAGATGAGGATTGAGAGATTCCAAATTTTGGAAGAAAAGGTGCAGGAATGAAAAAGATGAGAAATAGAGTTAGGAATTGATGGACACCAAGGACAAAAGAGAGAGTGAGGAGAAATTTTAGAAACTGCAATGCCAAGTGGGAGGGAGTGATGGGCAATTTTCCATAAAGATCTTGGATTTTTCGGGGGCGATGTGAATGGTGGATTTCAGTCCAAGACAGTGGTCCAATATGAGGAGGGGTTAAGAGGATTGAGCGAAGAGTGGGAAGTGATGGAGAGGTAAGAATGGTAGAGGGAGAGAGGTTTTCAATTATGGAGGAAGCATTGAGACAAGAGTGTAAGGGTTCTATTTGTAAATAAGTACCTCAGTGATTGATGATACAGGAAGGAAGTGATTGAGAAAATTTGTTAATTGTGAATTGGTTAAGGTGTTTGGTCCAAAATGGAGGGTCAGGGTCAAAGGAGCGGGATATGAGTTTTGCAGAACGAATTCTGCATTCAAGTTTGAAATCTGGAAGTGCAACTCCACCATCTGAGGTAGGGAGAATGGAAATTTCAAAGCGAGGGTGTGTTTTAGAAGAATTCCATATAAAATTATTAATAATTCTTTGAATAGTTTTAATGGTATCATGAGAGGGTGGACATATAGGGGCATAATACCAAAGTTTGGATAAAAGAAGGGATTTAGATATTAGAATTCTTCCTTTGATAGATAGATTGCAAGATGATAGAAGGTTAGAGTGATTAGTGAGTTTGTGTTGGAGGTTGGACCAAAGAGAGTTAGTATTTAGAGGATTGATAGGGAGATTGAAACCAAGGATGGTAAGACTTGATGAAATGGGAGGAGAGTTGGGAATGGGTGGAAATGTAAGGGGGGATAGCAATAGAGGATAAAGGGAGGATTTTTGGAGATTAATTTGACCACCAGTGATGGACTGATATAAAGGAAAAATAGAGTTAATGAGAAGAAGAAGGTCATTAGAGGAGTGGCCTATGATTGTGGTATCATCTGCATATGCTCGAAATGTAAGAGTAGGGACAGACATAATGAGATTGAAATATATGGAAGACATAAAGTTCTTAATATCATTCTTGCAATCATCCCAGTTAGAAGGGGAAGATGGAGGAGTGTATGAGGATAGAATTGAAGAGATATTGTTCTTAACATAAGGGATAGATAGAAGGGATGTGTTCATATGCCATTGAGGACGAGGTATAGTAGTAGAGGATTTAAAAATGAGTGCACAATGGTCTGAGAGGGAACTTAGAGAAATGGTATATGATGAAGAGGATGGAGATATAAAGGAAGGAGAAAGGAGAATAAAATCAATTCGGGATCTGGAAACATAGTTAATAGAGTTTCGAAAAAATAAAAATGTAAATTTAGGGGGACCAGGTAATGATCCTGCAAAATCAATTAGGTTTGGAAATAAGGAAGGAAGAAGGTTAATGTTGGGAGAAGTGGGAGTTGAGGAAGAAGAAATTCTATCCCGTAAATGGACAGTTGCATTAAAATCACCACCAACAATTTGTGGGTAGGAGGAAGTAATAGGGGGGAGGTGTTGCCAAAAGAGTCTATTGGATTGAGCTTCTGCAGGAGCATAAATGTTTCTAACAATAAAAGAGGATGATTTTGAAGAAACCTTGATGTCCATTATCCTTTGATCAGTTGATGTAAAGATATAGGATGCTGTAAAAGAAGGAGAGATTAAAGTTATGAGATGTTTACTGTAGAAAAAGGAACCAGGCCAGAGAGATTTGAATAAAGAGATGCGAAATTCATCTGGAAATTGAGAAGAGTTAGTGAAGAATTCCTGAATTAAAATGATAGATGCATGAATGTGAGAGATCTTAGATAGAAGAAGAGAGAATTTGTGATGGGCTGAAAGCCCATTTGCATTGAATGAGATGATATTTAGCTTATTCATAGACATATTGATTATTGTTTATGATGGGTAGTAGTGTATGGAGTGGAAGAGTTAGAGTGAGTGTTAGGAGTTTTGGCAATTCGATTAGAGTGACGGCTAGTGGTAGTTTCAGATGGATGATTATTGTTATTAGTGGACTCTATATCCAAGTCATGGGACATGTTTTTTTTTTTTAATGTAAGATCTTTATTGACAGCTACAGATAACTGCTAAAGCTGTTTTTAGACAGCTAGTACATG